TTTCAATACAATGTATGAACTAATGTGGAACTAATATTGCATTATACAACATATATAGAGATTTGTCATTAAATAACTCTCGAGCTTTATACAATACTGCAATTGATGTAGCTATTTTTACTTTTATATTATTTATGTGTGATCTCCAAGTCAGCTTCTCATCGATAACGACACCCAGAAACTTAACTTCACCGACTCTGCCAATTGTAACACCATCAATTTTAAATTGAACATCAACTGCTATTTTTCTATTAGTAAATATCGTATAATTAGTTTTATCCAAATTTAATGATAGTTTATTGATTTGAAACCAACTTTGTATTTTAACAAATTCTATCTGTATCATCTTCATCATCCGTTCTGTCATTCCCCAAACAAAAAAAGTTGTCGCTTTGACAACCAAACAAAGAAACTATTTTAAAAACATCTATTTAAAGCTGTGGAAAAAATGCATCCTAAATCACATCCTGGTTATGTTAAGTGCATGTTTTAATGTGCAGTGTCTCTCGATAAAGATATGTTTTCTGCAAACAGGAGGTGATAACTAAAGACTACACCAGGCAGAGCCAGCAGCAACAGCAGAACTATCACCACCCTATCCTGGACCTGACCCGTCCAGCCAGTGCCTCCCAGCTCCCACCCACTTCACAGGAGCTTGTCCAAGGGTCCCGCTATTTAGATGTTCTCAGTGGAGAATGTAACCGAGACAGGTAGGAATCACCGTCCCTTAACTCTTTATTACGAAGGATTTCTATTTCTGAATGCCACTGCAGGGTTAGGGTTAAACAAAATGTGTCTTAATTAGGACTGCAACTAATGACTATTTTGATAGTCGACTAATCTGCAATTATTTTTTTAATTAGTCGATTAGTCAACGACTATTATTTCTGTCACAACATCCATCTGTGTGTCCACCTCCTGTTCCAGCGCCAGTCTGATCTCACCTGCTCACACCTGAGAAGTTCACCGTTTCCAGTGTTTCTGTYCTAAMATAAGAAGAAACGTYCTCATAGCAAATTAAAATAATGACCCATGAAACAAATGAACTTGAACCTCGGATGTATTTTAACTAGGGCTGCACGATATTGGAAAATCTTGCGATGATTATAATATTTGTAAATATTGCGATGATGATATCAGGTGTGATATATGTTTTTTAGTTTGTTTCCCCTCCCGTTCTAATCTTTACGTCATACTCTGTGACCTTTAGCATTTTTGGCAATGGCATTTCAAAACTGTTCAAATACATTTGTCAACAATTATTTAACTCCAGGCTGTCCTTTATGATGTGAATATTGCGCACACTGATATTGTGATGACGATATATTTGCGGTATATTGTGCAGCCCTAATTTTAACATTAATACATGTAAACATGATACAAATGAAATTATATACTGTGTTCTACATTTTACTTTTGATTGATTTTCGGCAAGTCTTTGAAGTGATCATCTTTTTGTTTCGTCATTATTACAGCTTTTTGATTTGTTCGTGACTTCTTCTGTGGTTTGCAGACCGGCACCTGTTCTTTAGTAAACAATGCAACCACAGACAATAGAAGCAGTTCTGCCCCCTGCAGTTCATGTATTGCATTGCAGTTACAAATGAACATTTACATGGGTAAATAATACGATGCGTCAACATTAAAATGCCGCGTCGACTAATTGTGACCCTAGTCTTCAGTAATTAAGTGTAATGGATAGTAACACCGATACACATGCAGTAATTATATCTTTTTACTGTTTCTAGGTCTCCCCCTCAGTCCAAGTCTTCACCTGTCAGTGTTTCTAATGACGGCATTGAACCAGTGTCTCCTCCTGGAACCAACTCTGATCCTGACATCCAGGGAGGCGAGCAGGGGTACGTCCTCACAAAGCTGCTAAACTGTTCCAACATTGTCATCATGCTTTAAATTAGGTTATTCTGCTCATAAGCTGAAAGGTTTTTATTTAACAAAAACACAGAAATAAAGTTTGCTTGTTTTTTTAATCCCCAAATTATACAGTACTTTGTTACTGATTTTCTATGGCTATCAGACACCGAAACAGAGAAATTTTACTTTCCAGTTTCTGCTACGTTTTGAAAAATCTGCCAGCAGAACAGCTTGCCTGCTCACCTCAGCCTCTTTCACTGTAGCATCAACAACAAACCTCATTTCAGCTGCATCTTCCTTTCTTATCATTGAGCAACGCACTCCTGTGTTTTTCTATATGTTACTTTTTGTGAATTATATCAAGAAATTAAAGTTTCTGCAGCCTCAAATAGTTTCAAATTCAATTCCAAAATACTTTATTGATCCCAGAGGGAAATTAGGTAATTAGGTTTTGTTCTTGCTGGTAGGGGTTTAATTTTATAAAAAAGCATCTAATGTGAAATGTGGCATTGAATATTTTTTCAGTGTTTCAGTAAAGAAAGAATAARTCTGTTAGGATGAGCTTTGAGTTTTTATACTGTGATGTTTCACTGTACTTCAGTCCCACATCTTCTGAGATAAAGGTCAGGATTTGTTGAGACAAAACTGAAGGCTTGTTTTTCCTTCCTGCAGACTGGGCTCCCGTTCTCCTCCGAACTCCTCTCAGCCTCCAGCTTTCTTCAGCAAGCTGACAGAGAGCACGTCCGCTATCGTGAAGTCTAAGAAACAGGAGATAAGCAAGAAGATGGTTATAGGAAATGACAGCAAGTTTAGTGAGTCTGACCTCAGCTTGGAAATGGAAAACATGTTTTACCAGAAGAGGACAATCTTACCTTTGATTTCTTTGATTGTCTTTTCAGATACTAGTCAGCCAGGAACAGAAATCTTCAATATGCCAGCGTCCACAACTGCAGGTAATCAAACTGTTGGTAGTGTTGGTAATGGCTTCAACATTGTTGAAGGACCTTTGTAGAAAGATTGAAAAACTCAGTGTTCTTCAAACACAAACATGAACTTGTTTGAAACTGGGTCAAATGAGTAGAGAGCAGAAATATGTGATAAATCTGCTTACACCAGTGTCAAAGTATATATTTATATTTATTCTCAGTTTCATGTATTGCTGTTTTACATATTTTAATTCACCAGAACACTTCTCTTGACAGTAACGGTGAACGAGCGCAGCCACCCAGCTCCAGAGGCGCACGGTAACTCGATAGGCCTGGAGGCCATCATCAGAAAGGCCTTGATGGGGAACTACGAGGGTTCAGCAGAAGAACGCTCTCCATCCAGCACCATCAACCCAACAGGTTCTGCTGCAGCTGCTGATGGACGGGCTGAAGACTCATTCTCACAAGGTTCCTTGAAAACTCTTTGTTAATATTTGATGATGTTCACATCATGGATTTAGTTTCTCTTACATCATTCGACGTGCCAGCAGCACGGTGGCTCAGTTGGTAGAGCTGTTGCCTCTCGCCAAGAAGGTTGCTAGATCGAATCTCGGCCCGGGACCTTTCTGTGTAGAGTTTGCATGTTTTCTCTGTGCACTCTGGTTTCCTCCTGCTGACCAGTATATGACTGTTAGGCTCAGTGGTAACTCTAAGTTGTCCCTAGGTGTGAGCTATAGTTGTCTCGTTTGTCTCTATGGACCCTTGACCTGTCCAGGGTGTCCCCCGCCCCTCTCACTGTGACAGCTGAATATGGTCACCTGTGACCCTGAAAGAAAGAAGCAGGTGATGATAGAYGGATGGACAAGTCTTCCCTTGTTGACATCTTTTAATTTTCCTGTGGAGCTATATAGATGTAAACCCCTCTCTATTAAGTAGGGGTGCAACAATACATGTACCCGTATTGAACCGTTCAGTACAGTGCTTTAGGTTCAATACACACATCAAACAATACAGATTTTAAAAATTTACTTTATCAACTTGTCTTCTGAAGATGCTCTGTGTTGAGAGATCAGTGGATCTGCGTTCAACTACTTCACCTAGGCTGCATTGTTGAGTGCAGATCCACTGAGAAACTTGCTGTTTCAGCAACATTTAATTTAATAACTGTACTTTAGAGATTAAACAAATGTTCAAAATTAATTTGAATAAATTACAAGTTAAAAAGGCATGGGCATTTCTCTTTTTTTATCAAAAAAAAATCAAACCAAGTACTGAACCAAACTCAATTGTGATTTTTCTATATCGTTGCACCCCTACTATTGAGGTACAATGGATCGCTCTGGACGCTGGAGGGGGCGGGGTGTGAAGTGCCTCATTTGGATGTAAAGAGACAGTGTCAAAACGAGTTGATGTGAGACATGCCAGAGTAAAGGGGTGAAAGAGGGGCTTGTGGAGTTACAATGAGGACTTCAGACCAAAACATTGTAGTTCCACTGTAAATAGACCCCAACTGAGTGATTTAAATGTGAAAAATAATTTAAAAGCAGGATATGTCTCATTTAATTCCTACTAGCATGTTTTAGAACTTAATTTATTACACTGGTTTAAAACTCTCATCTACATGTAGTGATTGTTTTTATCTCCACTGATTTTAAAGCACTTGTTGATTGTTCAGGGTTTAAACTCTGTTCTGAAAGACAGCCCTGCATTTTTTAAAGCAGCCTTTAAACCACTGCCCTCACATTTATTGAGTTGTTTCTTTCTAGTTTAGTTTGATGAAAACGCGGTACGGAATTKTAAACATGTTTATGAGATTTAATTTAAAATCTGTTGTATAACAAACGTTTTACTGTTGATGTTCTGTAATCTTTACAGAGACAGAGACAGCTCAGTGTCTATAAACAGTGTAAATTGTGTCTCTGTTTGCAGGTGGCTCCAAGTCCACAAAGGGTAATGGGCGCTCCAACGGGCGTAAAGCCAAGTCCCCAGGACCAGGTCTTTCTGGCAGTGAGAGGCCTTCATCTGTGTCCTCTGTTCACTCTGAGGGAGACTGCAACAGAAGAACTCCACTTACCAACCGTGTCTGGGAGGACCGGCCTTTGTCTGCAGGTCTGGATCAGACCCATGTGGACACACGCTCTGGACAAAGTCATTAAATTAAACTGTTTTATTTCTGCTGTTTGCAGGTTCAACGCCAACTCCCTACCCATGTAACCCACTGATGATGCGTTTCCCCAGTGGGACCGTTTCAGCTCATTCCCCCTCCTCTGGTCAACAGGGGGGCCAGGGACCAGGACTTGGGCAGAGTCGCTCCTGGGACGAGGAGCCCAAACCTTTGCTCATGTCACAGTACGAGACCCTGTCTGACAGCGAGTGACCCACAAAGACCACTTCAGCTGCATACACACACACACACACACACAAACACACAGAGAACACACACACAGTGCTGCTGAAGTGTCTGAGACCTGCCCAACCTGCATCTCCTTCATTAGATCATAGTCATGTTCAGATGTGATGAAGTGGAGCTCTGCTGCTCGCTGTGTGTTTGCACTTCCGTCATGCATTCACTCCAGGACTACTCTGAAGGACAAATCACTCGTTTTCTTTTCTTTGCTACGATTCCTCACTGGCCTTATCAGTACAGACACGTCGACCTGTACCTTTGGGACGTACTGCGTTGTTTTTTTGGAGAGGACTCTTGCTCCAGAGACAGACCGTTTGTTGGACCTGACCTCACAGTGAGGACYGACACGTTTCCTTCACAGTGAAGTCCAGGTGCCGGCGACCTGCTACCACTACAATGATGAACACACGGAGACAGGAGGAGAATCGTTTTTCTTCTTTAACTTTTGTCAGTTCAGTCCCGTGTTTGTGAGCTGAGACTTTTAGTACAAATTGATGGTGAACTTTTGATGGCGTCATTTGTTGTCTGTTATCTACAAAGATGTATCTTTTTTTTCCTTTTCTTTTCTTTTCTTAAGGGGTGGAGATTAGGGGACAGAGCTTATTGTGGGGGGAGGGTCATATCATTGGTTTACAGGGTAAACTAGCGGTTCATTGCTGATGTCATCTGTTACTGGGGCTGGCCTGGAGAAAGGCAAAGCCCCGCTGACTTCAGGAATGTGTGGGACGGGGATGATCTGCCAGATGGATGGCACTGAGACAAGTGACACTTTCTCACAGTTTTTATATTAACCATGTCTGTGTTTGTTGAAACGGTTTTTGGATATGGAGCACTTAGTTGTCAATCTGTTCACAGTGGCATTTAAAAAAAACTAAAAAAACCCTCTGTTTCCAGGAGCAGGTGAAAGTGGAGTCAAACAGCACAGAAATCTCACTGTGGAGGGATCCTTTAGCGCCTGTCTGGTGATTTCGGTCTTGCTGCTTACGCTTTTTTTTTTAAACTTTACTTTAGCGCTACCCTGCTCAAAGCGACAATCACGTCAACGTGAGTGATAGGAAAGCCGCTGCGAGCAGGTTGCAGACCAACCTTTAAAGCTGCTTAAAAGCAAATTCCACAGCGTCACTCGGAAGTTCCTTTGCAATAAAGAGGTGACAAAAAGCCATCTTTCCATGACCCTCATTTTATGGTTCTGTCAGACTCAGATGACCTCCCAGAGTCCCACCTAGGAGGTCTGACCTTTGAGCTTTTACTGCCCAGAGGAGCTGCTTCAAGTCCTCTCCTCGTCCTGGCAGAGTTTGTACAGTTATGAGATGTTCTTAGTGCTAAGTGCCATTTATTTTACATGTATAGTGCTGAAGAGTGACGCACAAGTTTCCTTTTACCTCCCAGAGTTTAATGTCCAGAAAATGAAACGAAACGTCCTGATTTTTTTTTTAAATTTACCTTTTGAGGGTTTTTTTTACCCCTCTTTCCTCCAAATCTGTTGCTGACGTTTATCTCCCAACGGTTTAACCCATCGTCYTCTGCTCTGTTTGGCCTCCATCAGATGCCGTTCTGCTACAAGTGTACTTTGTCGCACCTTCATCGTCCGTTCGGCTCAGAGGAAGTGGAGAGCAAGGCGTTGCGGTGGCATTATTGCGTGACATTCGTCGACATGTTCTCACATTTTCATGCAGTATTTTAAAGGCCACTTTTGTTTCTGTAGTTTTAAGAGAGAGGTTCCTGACATCGTGCAAGCGGGGACAGTTTCCCTCCGACGGTTGAAACGGCCTGATGATGGAAGTGAGTTTGTTTAGAAAGACTCGTTGGTCTTTGGCTCATTTTGTGGCGGTGGACTCTTCACAGCACAGACATGACTGTTATAGGACTACCTCCTCTCCCTCCACCACCCTTAGTGTCGATGGTGAAGCATCCAGGAATGCCTTACCTGCTGACGGCTCATCTCAGCTGTGTTTTAGCTCTTTTTATTCGGACCGCAGGAGGGTGTCTAACTTCGTCGCTCGAGGCAAAAACACAGCCAGGCTCTGTGCATTGGGCACTCTATGTAAATCCCTGTTCCACTGCTGAAGTGTAAGAATGTGACACTAAACAGACAAAGCCATATCCAGCTGTTCCCTCAACAAAATGTTTTAAAAGTACATCAAAATGAGTTTTTAACATGCATCTATTCTTTTTCTTTGGTTTTTAAAGTGTTTTTCAAGGCTCACCTGTGTCATAAATCAAAAAAAAAATTCATTCAGACCTTAAAAGTACAAAGTTGATTGCTGGTTTGTTCCCTGGACTGTCTGATTGTCGGAGAGAGTTGACAAAAACAATACATTGTTCAACCATTTTGTGCATTTTTTTTATTATAACCCACTGTATAATAGCAAGGATTGTACATAAAATTGAAGAGATGTAAATATTTATGTGGCTTGCTTCGAGGTTGGTATTATGAAAAGAAAAATATTCACATGGTTAAATTCTACATGCCCACCAGCAAGCTTTGTGGATAGCAGTGTAAAAATGAAAAACAAACAAAAAAAGACACTGCCTTAATGTTTAAATAAAAAGCTTATTGCCATTCAAGGTCCCAGCGTCACATTATTGTTTGRTTTTGAAGCTTCACTGATTCTTAATGTCCTGCAGAGATGGTTTGGTGTAATGAAAGTTAGCCTCCAGCAGGGGGCAGTGCAAGCTTACATTTGAGTCATTAACCACAAGAAACYCAAGTTGTTTTTTAACATTGAAATAAGTTTAAAAACAGGCTTCAGATGTTCAAACTTCAGAAGTTTATTTTTGGTGAGGAATCATATAAAAGTCAAATTTACTGGTCACCTAATCAAACTTTGAAAGGTTACAAAGTTTATAACTTGAGGTAAAATGTTTGTAGCAGCTGCAGGTTAAACAATTGTCGGTTTTGCTTAAAATCTTTCCTCTGCTTTGATCAAATCCAGCTCTTCCAGATGTAAACATCATCATCTTCACCACGGGTCACGTGATGCAGAGCTCACCCGTGACCTTTGAGTCGTTTACAAAACATTTTGTTTGCAAAGATGTACGTCAGGATGCATCTGTTTGGTGGAACTGTGATTTGTTGTTTACCAACTTGCTTTTAAAATATGGATTTAAAACCAAAATCAAAGCTTCTAATCGAATTAAAAATTTCTGTTTCCTCTTTAAATGATTAACAGGAGGACAGTAACCAGGTTGCAGGTTCTTCACGTTGTCTGGAAGGTAGCGGTGGCMCAATATGCGTCATGACCTGGGGTGCTAACTCCGCCCCCAAAATCACTATTTACAGATAAAAACTTGGAAAAACAAGTTGTAGTAATAGGCTTGATGAAAGGATACCTGTATTTTATGTGTTTTACTAAATGACATTCATGCAATTTTAATTTTTGGAGATTTGATTTCTCCTTTAAACTTTATTAATTTCAAAATTAAAGACTAAACATTCCTGAAAGGAATCGATAACTTTTTTTCACCTCATATAGAAAATGATTTGTAGCCGTTTTGWTCAAACCTTTAAAATAATCTTGTGCATTAGCTTAAAAAGTCTGTTCTGTGAATGACTCTGTTATACCACTCAGCTCAATAACTACAATCTTACCGAGTTTGAGCTATTTTTGTGTTTGCTAATRCTGATTATCATTTTAACTTAGATTTATTACACTGTAGATATGAAAGTTTCAGTGAATTCTGTCCAGTGGCTCAGAGGATATTCTGTTATCAGACACAATGGCACTAAAATAAAAACCAGTAGAATCTACTCATTATTGTCAAATGTTTGAACAGTTTTAGTTTAGTTTWGTTTTGTTTCCACAAGAGTTAAAGCATGTTTGTCACCTCTTACACCAGGAAGCAGCTCGCTCTCATCCAGCAGGACCTGATGCYGCTGAGGGGAGAACCGGAGGTCCCGGTCCAGAACTCTGGACCCACAGTCTGGCTGCAGCAGCTGCTGGGCTGATATTCAGTGCCTGCGCTTTAATAACGCACAGTGTGTGCTCCTGATGGTGGAAACAAAAATGTATTCAACCTTTTCTCTGTTTGGAGGGGGTCTGTGGTGGGGGGTCGTGTTCAGGTCAAGAAGGTCTGATGTGATAACARTTTATTTATTTTTTCTTTCTTTCTTGGAGCACAAAATAAAACCAGAAAGATGTGTTTTCTGTGTAAACAGTGGGGGAAATGAGTGTTGAATGAATCACTGAAGTTTGCAGAAGAGGCTGAAACTGAGTTTTTAAACCTAAAAGCACCAGAACACCAGCTAACAGCTAAAAGTATCAAAAATGCAATTAAAAGCTAGAAGTAGCTAAACACTAGCTTGAATAAACTGAAAGGATTTCAATGTACTTCTTTGGGGAAATGTTTGTAATTGAAATATTTAGAGAAAACCTAAAGTCATGGCACCTATCTCCTAAATGAGCTGAATGTTTTGTTCTATAAATGTCTTTAACAGCAGAAAGAAATGTACAGAAATAAACTTTGATCAGAAAAACTGAATGCTGACTCGGCATGAAAAAAAAAAACATCACAAATAAGTTTGATTTCTCTCTGGATTGTTTTATTTGTCAGGATATACATCTTTTTAAATAATTATCTTTAATCAGAACAGGAACAATGATCGATGTACAAAAATATAAAGAGAGTCATGAAGTGCCTCGATGCCACATATACAACAGAGAAAATATCTACAGTCACAAAATCAAGTGTTAGAAGACACGACACATAAAACCACCAAAAGGATTTCAATCCAACTTTCTCTCGTCTCACGTCCTGACATTCCACAGACCGTCGACACAAAAACCAGAACTCCAGCATCCACTCAGAAACTTGACTTTTATCTAACAGATCCTCTTAATTCCACTTCCTGTTTCCCTCCTCCTCATCAGCCTTTCCTGCTGTCYTGATGAACCGTCTCAGCTCCAAACTACACAATAAAATGAACCCTAAAAGAAAACAGTAACCTTAAACAAACAAAAAAAAAACACATTTGAGGTAAAGTCTGAAGTCTCAGCATGACCTGCTCTGCCATCTAAATGGATTTTCTGGTTATATAAGACAAAGATGTGAAGCACAGGAAAATAAGAAATTCTTCAAAATGGAAATTTCCTGTGGTTTCATGGCTTCACTCTGTACATATTTGAGATTTCTGAGGGATTTGATCTGTGTTGGATCAGAAATGGATCAAATGGGAATTATTCAGGCTGAACATTATTCAGACAGTTTTAGGTTTTAATGTCAAATTAATTTCACCATTTCTGGAACTTCTTTTTTTTTTTACTTTAGTTGAGAGTTGTTCTTAAATGTTCTTTACATTAAACTTAGAGCAGTTTTTATTTCTTGTTTCCTCTGAAGCAGCTGAAAATGATTCAGGCTGCAGGTATTTCTTTTATTAGAGAGGAGTTATTTACAGCCCTCTGATTGTCCTTTTTTTTATTGTGTCTTAAACTCCAGCAGGTTTGAAAAGAATTTCGGTACCAATAAAACAAATCAACCAGTCCCTGTTTCAGAAACACCTGACCCTCAAACAGGGGTCTGCAACCTTCATCATCACAGGAAGCATTTCTGTCTCTGATCTCACAAAACAAAACGAGCTTCACATAAAGACAACACAAATCATTACATTTGATAAAAACACATAAAAAGCTGTTTGCTGTGAAATACTAAGATAGAGATCCACTTTCAGAACATTGATACTTTCCTAAAATAGTTGCCTAAATCAATTTTTCCCTAGTTTTTCAGGGAAAAAAAACTTAAAGAGTACCATATGATTTTTTTTTGTAGATTTCTGACTGATAAAAAAAAGGAGATTATTTTGTCATTCCAATTAGTTCAAGTGAACAAACCATAGGGCAGATTGTTATATATATATATA